CACTCTTTCAATGTCACAAACAAGCAGAATAATACTAATGAATATGAACTGAATGAACAACACAATAGATTACAGGAATAAGTCTCAGTCTTTTCATTAACTCAATTAAAGGATTACATAAAGTCCTTCTTGTGTGCTATGCTCATTCACGTTCTGCATGCTACACATTTTACAGCCTATCTAATTACAAGATAATGGAAGTTACAAGTATAAACTGTCTCTAACTTCCTGCACAGTTGGAGCACCCATTATCTCATGTTCTGGCCATTTTCTTCCTTACATAAGAAACTGCCGCAACTGCCGATAATTGCTCCCAAAACTGCTGCAACTGCATTGACATGTTCTCCTACAAGCCAACTACCCACTGCCAGCACACATATTGTCAACGTAACTGCCTCGTATGTCTTGAACCGTCCGTTATCCAAGTTGTCATCAGCCCCTGTTATCGATTTTGTTGACACTACCAAATTCCTCAACACTGCCAATCTCACCAATGCTGTCAAATTCTCGATTGTTTCATTGTGTCATCCCAACATTGTTTCGTCAGGCCTTCGACAATCCTCATCCAAGTTTCAACTCTTGTTAGCATACTACTACTTTAACTGTTGTGTACTGCCGCACACATATTCTGCTGATTTTCACTATTATTACAGAAGCTACCACCTCGTAGCTACTATCCAACAATGCTTTTCATCAGCCTTGACAAATTTTAACCCTGTGACACCTTCCTTCTTTTTCTCATACTAGGAAAGCTTGTTCATGCAAAATCCACTGGGGTCGCTTAGTTTTGCATACATACCAACATTCATATACAACTGTCCTTTTCCAAATCTTTAGCTGGTCCTTTATTGGCTTTTCACTATAGTTACAGGGCAGATTGTTGATTTTTGGACATTTGAAGATAAGAATTTCCTCAGTCCATGACATATGTTGAGTCGTAGAAAGACAGGCCCATGTGATATATTTATGAGCTATGTCGTAAACGGACCTCTGCTAAATGTTTCTTGGCCACATATCCCACACTCTACAGGATTTTTAACGTGCCATTCCACCTATATAAACATATCCATATCCATCGCTCATACCCACAGCCAAGCCTTCACATACTGATCTACTACTCCCTTCAACCTGAGAATTTTTGTTCTACAATCAAGAAAGACAATGGCTATTCGTTTGCCTGGTCTGGCTAAACAAAGTCTCCGTAGGTCTTTCTCGACAGCAAATAAAGCTTCATCAAAGTATTTGGATGTGCCGAAAGGTTTCCTAGCTGTTTATGTGGGAGAAACCGAGAAGAAGAGATTTGTGGTTCCAGTTTCCTATTTGAACCAGCCTTCATTTCAAGATTTGCTAAGTAAGGCTGAGGAGGAATTCGGCTTTGATCATCCAATGGGTGGTTTAACCATTCCTTGTGCCGAAGAGACTTTCCTTCATGTCACCTCTAGCTTGACTAGATTCTAACTTACAAGAGAGGCTGTTAATCTAATAATTAGAGAAAAACAATTTTTGTTGTGCAGGGTTTTCCAATTCTATGTAAATGTTTTTTTGGCTAAATGTTCTGCCTCCAATTAGATGCCACAGCATGTCCTTCCCCTCATTGATTCCAGCAACAATGGCATAATGGGTCTAACCTTACCAGGCTCCATTTCTGGGATGGCTGGGCTCTATGGGCTCCATATATAGATGGGTTCGGAAAACAAGGTTTGACGTCTGTACTAGTGCGCAGGTTCCTGGGGCCCATGGATCGGGTACTCTCGCTGCCAAGGATACACAAATTCCAGCCCAATGTGAAACTTCCCGTTCATTTGAGTCTAATTACAATTTCATTTCCATTTATGTAATTTAGCAAAATCAGAATCCATGACTAAATATTGTTAATTACAGAAATTAAATCTTCCTCTTATTGATATAAACTAGGTGCTTTAATTATTTGCAGAGACAACATCGGTTCAGTATTAAATATTAAGACATGCATGAAGGTAGTAAAAAAAATAAAATATTTATGGGGAATGGTATAAAAAAGATTCATTATAATTTTTCTATGTGAAAATTCTTTGAAGTGAAAAAAAAATTATGGATTTAATTTTCATAATAATTAAATGAACTTCATTTCCTTGTTATACTCAGAATACATGCATGAAGGCCAACATGCATTCTCTTAAAGAAGAAAGAAAAATAAATAAAGAAGTTGCGTGCATGATATCTAACAAGATTTAATTTATTTCTACTAATTAATTAATTGCACTTAATTTTCAATTATGGGAACACCCGATACTAGATTATGTGCGAATTAACTGCTGTATTAATTAGAAATTATACGTAAAGATCAAGCGAAACCCTAATCCTATATATAAATAAAAAACCTAAGGAGTTGTTCATTGAAGTTATTAATTTGTCTTCAAAAGAAACTGCCTTCTTATCATCCAAAACACCACAGAAATTCCAATGGCTGTCCCTGTAATTCCTCTCTCTAGCTCCTTGTGTATCTATTTTGTATATATAGGTCACTTTTTCTTCTTCTTTTTTTCATGTAAAAAATAAATGGTACATCCTTGCTTTAATTTATGAATTCATCCTTTCAACTTTAACAATTTGTTTATGAAATCTACTCTTTTGGTTGGCCCTTTTTGTTTTCTTCAGATTTTCTCCGTGAAAGTGCATATCAGTTGCTGTTCAAGATATACGCAGAGAGCCCAGGAAAAGTTGCAGAAAATAAAAGGTTTTTTTATTATTATTATTTTATTACAGTTTCGTGGACTTTTCCGTGTGTCTTGTAATAATATTTTTGCAAGCGTTCCCTTCTTAAAAATTGTGTCTAATTGCTAGGGGTGAATTCCATCACCATCGACACAGCAAAAGATTTGGTGATCGTTTCCGGCAGTGCTGAGCCTGCGGTAATTCTAGAGAAGTTCGCTGAGTGGGGAAAAAAGGCAGAACTTTTTTCCTTTCAAAAAGAACCCATGGAGAGTGGTGGTGGTGACCACGACAAGGATAAAACTAATTTGAGTAAAAATTATTATAGGAAGAGTGATTCAGTTCCCGGCGCAGTACCCGCCAACAGGTTCTTGCATGATAACCCTAACATGTACGTCGCGAGAGACAGTAAGAAGGGTAAATGGTGTTGGCTTGATAAAATAATATTCGGAAACAAACCGAGGGCTAGATCTTTGGTTGCAAAGGCTCATGCTGACAATAAGTGGCAGGCTCCAAGGATACCTGTGAATGAATTTGGAACATCAAAGCCAGAATATGGAAACCAATTAGCTATGCATGAATTTGGATCCTCACATCCATTTTATGGTGGCCAATTACCTATGGATCAATTTGGATCCTCAAGACCATTTAATGGAAGCCATTTCAATAGACCATCGATGTATGGAAGACCAAGACAACCGGTGCCTCCACAACCAATGTATATGCCAAGGCCACCATTCTTACCACCATATGGGGGGATGCAGCCAGGGGTGGCAGCTGCACCGTCGCACTCGGTCAATCCCATGATCCACTACACAAGTTATGACGATAATTATCGTCGTTGGTGAGCTGCATAACATGCGAGGTGTACAAACACGGACTTGAAGTTCATATGTAGTCTAAAGAATTGCTATATCTTTAATGTTTGCTAATGCTGTTCAGCTTCTGTTATAGATAATGGCATTAGACAATTGCCAATTGTTCATTTTCGTCCTTTAAATTTATGTTCCAGGGGAGATATGTTACAGTAACCTCTAACATCTAATATATCTATTCTGCCTCCATCTGATTACAAGCCTCAAATTAATTAGTTGTTGCAAGGGATGTCTCTAAATGCAGAATCAAGTAGGTTGAGAGCATCTACTGATTGTCTCGGACATGTACCTAGTCCAAGTTACCTTAGACAGGACCATGTGATTATCTTATGAGCTATGTCTAAATTGCAGACCCCATCCAATTGTGTCTTGTCCATATATCAACTTCAGATTAATGAGGATTTTGAACATACCGTTTCATGACCTATATATATACCATCGAAATATTTGGCTCACTACCAAACAAGTCTTCACATTCTTTACTCGTATTCCTTCAACAAAAAATCTGCTGATTAGTTTCTTCTGAATTAGATACATCAACATTGAAGTGAAAATGGCTATTCGTTTGCTTGGTTTTATGGCTAAACAAAGCCTCCGTCGGCCTGTTTCATGCGCCAATAAAGCAGCTTCAAAGTCTTCAGATGTTCCAAAAGGTTTCCTAGCAGTTTACGTTGGGGAAACTGAGAAGAAGCGATTTGTGGTTCCAGTATCATATTTGAACCAGGCTTCATTTCAAGATTTGCTAAGTAAAGCTGAAGAGGAGTTTGGTTTTGATCATCCAGTAGGTGGATTGACAATTCCCTGTGCGGAAGATACTTTCCTTGATGTAATTTCTAGCTTGAGTAGATTATAAGGGGTAATTTAACTGATCACACGGAACAATTTTGCACGGCAGGAAATGCCGATTGGGTGTAAATAATGTTTTTTACTAAATCTTGCGAAATGAGAAATATATTTTATACCGAAGTGGTTGTTCCCTCTCTTATGCTGCAATTCTCTCTCAAATAATCAAATGATCTATTTAGTCTTGTAAGGATAATGAAACTTTTTCTAAATACTCTGCAGTATATATGTTTAGTATGTGTACTGATATTTTGGGACCTGAACTGATATGAAATCTGATATGTATGGAGTATGGTCTGAGATTGCAGGAGATATGATTTTGAACAAGTTTCCGAGTAAAAGCTGGAAATCTGTCAGATTATGAATTGACTTCTATATGTAGAGGTCTCTAGTATCCAAGCTTTCTCTTTATATATATCAGTTATGCAACCTGCTAGTGGTAGAACAGAAATGAAAGACTAGGAAATTTCGCTCAACTTTTCTCTTTAGTTTCTGTTTTTCTAGTTCAAAAAACCTACAAGCTTACTTTCCCAACTCTTTTGAAAAAACTTCTTCCTGATAGCTAATTGAATTGCAGTCTTACACTAACCCTGTTCCTAGTAGAATATTTTTACACCTGTTCAGTTAATTATTTTGTCTGAGGCTTTCGATTAACATGCATGTATCTGTTCAAAGAGGAAACATTCAAAATGTTCTGGTTTAATTTCAAGCCTTATGAAGGATCGATCTGAAAATTAAAGACCCTTCATTCCTTCTTCAAAATCAAGTTCGGTTTGAATCGTATAAAAAGAGAAGTTAATTATGGGATTCCTTGCGATTCTTCTTTTGCACTATATACAATCACGAGGAAATTCTTGCTTGTCCAGCCTCAGAAAGTCTATCCACTTTTACAAACAACAGCTTTCTCCTTGTGAAGTTCCTGAATCTCATCCGCATGTGTTGAACCCTGATTTTATTTTATTTTTAAGACGAGTCAGACATCTCAAGAAGGTCTTGCATTTTATAAAGATAATGAATTATCCTGAAAGACAAAATCAACCAAAAGCTCTGGCATTCAATGGAGCAGGCTCTAAAATATAGAATACTCTTCCTTCTAAAACTACACATTCTTTCATTGAAAACAACCTTTGCCATAAAGAAGATATATATATATATATATATATAT